TCATGAACCTTGATCCCAGCAGCTCTACTTGTTGCTGCTTTCCAAGAATGCTTCTTTGCGATTATCTCACCTTTCTCGGGATCTTTCTTGGCTTCTTCCAACTGTTTTGCCCTCTCAAGCTCCTGCAACTTTGACAATTTTCTCTTCTTATTCTTCTTCCCCAGCTCATCTTCATTCCCAAGTTTGACATGACCGAATGTGAGCTCCTTCGAAGCCTCTGCAGCATCTTCCCTCACTGAATCATCACTAGTAGATTTCTTTCCATCAGATGCAGTTTCTCTCTTCCGTTTCTTCGGGTCAGCTCCTTTCTTCTCATATCTCTCATGTCTCTCGATCCTCTTCCTTGCTCTCTCTGAACCTTCACAGTGCCGACCAGCCCGAAACTCCTCGATCTTACAACGAAGACGATGCTGGAGTTCTTCATATGTCACTGACCGGTCATCATCTTCTAGACCAGCCACCACAGGTTTAACCTCTATTTCATCACTGTCACTCTCATCGCTTGACTTCTTTTCCAAACTTTGTTTTAGCAAATCAAGGGTTGTCGTAGAAGACTTCTCTGGATCCAATCGTTGTCTTCGAGCTTTCTTAATGTTTTCCTTTGATTCCTTCTTTGCTGAAGCTTTGGCAGACTTGCTGAGACCCTGAAACCACGGCTTCTCATCATCGTCAATGGGTAGATAGAACCTGGCAGGGATGAGCTCAACTAACTTGTCGAAGAACTGAGAATTCTGATGAATAATAGACTTCAGATCCAGAACTGGTTTCAAATGGATGGCATGACTTGCCCTCTTCTTCTTCATCTTCAAACTGATTAAAATTATGGTAAATTCCAAGTGTCAGATAACATAAAAAAACAACGCACCACTGTTCAATTGAAAGAATCAAACCAAACCACCACAAAGAATTAATTCTAAGGATTTCTCTCTCACACACACGCACAAGAATGCCACCTCTTAATTTAATCTCATGCGGATGAAGTTGTAAGAAAAATAAAAAAAGCCTATTCCATTGTTGGTTTATACAACCCATTACTTAAAACTTTTACCATGATTAACTAAATTGAGCAAAGTTTCAACTGAGAGCAAGACATAGCTCAACAATGAGAAAGGACAAAGCTCTGTTGCACAATCTCATCCAATTTCAGCACCTCAAACACATTTACGGTCCATGACTCGAAATCGTAGACAAAATTGTTAGAAACCCTCAGCATATATAACCCCTCTCGTCAACAACACCCATGTTTGAGGGAGAAATACCAATAAATAATCAAATAAAAGCCCTACACCCATGATTGAGGAAGAAGATACCATTAAATAACAAAACATCTAAAAAACTTATAATTAATGGACAACTCCATTTGAATGGGGCCGTTAATTTTATTACAAAACTCAAAGATTAAAGCTTACAAGATTCACGAAAGTTTCAAAAAAAAAGGAAAAAAATGGGGGGAAATCTGGAGGTATGAAAGTTTCAATATATGGTGGTTCATATCAGCATCCCGAAGCTTGAATTAAAACTGAAGTCTAAAAATTCAACATAAGCATTCTTACAGACACCGATATTTTCAGTTCTTAGGAACCCAGAAAATAATAACATTCTTACAAATGAAAGACGAAACAATAGGCAAAAAAGAACAATTAGATTATTCGCGAACTCAAGAAATTATGGAAAGTAAAATACTTACTGAGGAAGATGATGCTGATAAGACACAAAAGTGAGCGGGTTTTCGAGAGGGATTGGGGTTGAAGACAGAGACTTCGATACAGGGAGCGTGATTCTATTGAGGTATGAAGCTGAAACCCTAGGAAGAAGAGTACGACGACGTTTTAATGACAAGATGGGACTGTCCAATTAAGCTTGGGCTGGAGAATAAACATTGGCAAACAAGAAACAAAGCAAGAGAGCTAAGGAGGCGAGCGACCTCGCTTCGACATTTCGGCTGCTGCTGGGCCTTGGCCATATAGAGGGCCGCGTAGCGTTTTCAGCTAGGTTACAATTCTCTCCAAATTCTTTGATGAAAATACCGAATAAGTCCTGGGCCTTTTAAAAGAGTGTGGCCTCGCTTAGTACTGGGCCCTGGCTTTGTCCATGCTCTGTAGTCTCTAGAGGGGGGCCCCAGCATTCTTTCTTATTTTTGGTTTGGCAGAGGCCTATTCTAATTTTTACCAGGATGAGCAGGAAAACCAAACAAATTATTACTGATGCTTCACTATTAATTCGAGAACCGTATTAGGGATGACAATGGGTCGAAATGGGGGTGGGTATACTATTTTCATCCCCACTCCGTTAAACTTTTTTCCCCCATCCCCCCGCCTTCATACCCACAATATTCATATCGGGGATTCCCCATTCCCACCTTTGTTGGGGAATGGGTTCCCCGACCCGCCCCATTACGGAAGAAAAAACTATTATAAAACTACTTTGTTGAAAGGAAAAAAATTGGATTAAGACAGGATCATGAATATATATATATATATATATAATATACATATAAGACAATATAAGAATAGTTACATAATGACTAGAATTTAACTAAATATATAAGCAGCTTAAGATTCGTATAAGTTATATAAATATATAATATAATAATAGGAAATATAAAGTTTAGTTGGCACAATCACTTTAATTGTGCGTTTGGATGAGGGAAATAAACTTGAGATTTTGACAAAAGTTCGAATTTCTAAATTGACATGAACCAATTCCCATGTTTGGATAAAAAAAACATAGAAATTTAGAAATTTCGCATGGGAAAAAACATGAAATTTGAAGATCATAAATCCCAACTTTAAATTCTATCTAAAGGTCGTCATTTCTAAAATCTCAAGAGATATATATATATATTTTTGGTTTGAACCACGAGGTGGTCCTGGATGGGCCCCAACTATGGGCGGCACCTTTAAGCCTTAACCACAACCCAGACTATGGTCAAGAGATATTGAGTTTTAAAAAAAAGATAACTGTACAAATAAAAGTTAAATTCCGTGTTTTAAATTCATCACCCAAACAAGAAACTTTACAAATTTTAGAACATTAATTTCCGTCATTTTAAATTTCGTTATTTATGAAATCCTTTGTACTTTTAAATTTCCCCATCCAAACACACTAATATCATATTTATATATACTATAATATATCTATATATATTCTAAATGGGGAGGGGTCGGGGTTTAAAATACCATCACCGCCCCTCCCCGAACACCATACCCAAAAAATTCCCCGTACCCATACCCATACCCCTTTTTTTATCCTTTATACCTGACCCATTAGGGTCGAATCTCTGCGAAGACCCTTACCCGCGGGGAAAATTGTCATCCCTAAACTGTATAAGCCTTTTTTTTTTGTCAGAGGACAGAAGTGAGCCCCACCATTTGCATCCAAGTACGAGTTCACCTCCTCATAAAGTAGATTAATTTAGTGTAGATTAGAATATTGCTTGTATTAAAAAATAATAATTAGAAGAAACAGATATGAGTAGAATGCGGGATAATTACTCGCCTTCAAGCGGTTATCTTTCTTGAAAGAAAAAAAAAATTATGTTTAACATACTATTTATGGAAGACGCACAGATTTTTGTGAAGAAGAGTGGCAGGACTAGCTTCCATTTCCTCTTGTGGTCAACAACACATTTATTACTTGATGACCAATAAAATAGATTTTTCAATATTTTCCAACAATTACAAATGCATAATATATTTTTTTTTTATGAAATTTTGGAGTTCGGGGGGATGGGCACTTCCAGCCGAAGTGTGGCTCCATCTCAGGTGAGGATTGTAAAAACTATCAGCCGTATTTGCCAAAAGCTTGAGTTGATGAGAGTACTGAAAGAAACTACATTAGACATTTTCATCCTCCAATGAATTTGAATTATAATTTTGTATGTTATGCATATCATAACATAAGATAAACTTAAATGTGAAATTTCATTTCATATTGAACGTAAATGTGAAATTTCTCAAGAGAGATAGAGAGGAAGGTATATGACAGACTTCACATACGTTTTTCTCTAAAGAAAGCAAAGAAAATAAACATCTCAGGAAAGCTTTTCCAGCAGATGTTATGTCAACATTCTATTATCTCAAAAACGAATGGAGCCTTGAAGGCATTAACATTCTCAAGTCAAGAGACTAACTGGATTCTTTGAAGGCATTAACATTCTCACTGGATTGCTTTCATAATCAAACTGATACTGATATAAAAGGAATCCAGTGAGATTACAAAACTATAAGATGACATGATTTCCATTGTATTGTAGTATTTTAAGCATGCTAGAACTATAAGAAGAAATTAAGCTTGAAGTACTTTAAAGGTTGCGGCCACAAGAGAGTGGGCTTCCAAAGAGACACTGGAAAGCCTTCACAGGATGATCATGGTCATCAAAGTCAATGCCATAGTCCTGCAACAGTAAAGACATTAAAAAGTTGGATAACAATGCCCAGTAAATAGTAATATCAAAATTATCAGATTTGGTGAATCTTTCTTACCCCAGTGAGCTCCTCCATAGCAGCATGTGAAAAGGGCAACCTGCACAATAATGGAAAAATCTAATTAAAACAATTTAGTATGCCTCTACTAATGATCATGCAGGACGGAATAAATTTTAGCATAGGCATCCCAACTAAGATTGCAAACTCAACAATCAAAAAGAGATATAGCTTAAAAAAAACCAGCCAGAACAATACAAATAAAACTCTTAAAAAAAGGAGGTGGAAAGCTCTCACAAAAGGATATGTAAAAATCTTTCACAAATGAGAGGTAAAAACTATACATAAAGCTCAAAGAGTCTCTGTGACTTATTCTAAAAATAAAGAAACTACAAAAAAGATGATGGTGGAGATTTGACGCCCGCCTATGATGGGTGGAGGAAAAGCAGAACCAAACCAAGACAAACAGGGGAAACCTTCTGTCACTGAAAATGGGGGAAGAGAGAAGGGGATAGGGGAGGAAGAATATTGGTCTCCTCTCTCTTCAAAGTGAAAATGACATTAGGAGTGTTTTTTGTTGGAAAAAGGGCTAGAACAACAGTTTATTCTTAAAATAATATTCTTTGTTATGTATATAGTGTATTTTGTGATTAATTATTATATTGGATACACTTCAACGAAAGAAAATGTGGCAATAGAAAGCCTCAAGTTGGAATAACATAGGATGAGAGACACTCCTATTAATAGCAGTAGGAAATTTTGATTCCTTTGTATTTGGGTTGCAAAGATGAGTGGGATTGTATTACAATTCCGCACTGGCTGGCATTGTGTTACAAACGTAGAACCGCAGTAACATTAGGCGCAAAGGGTTTCTTTCTTTTATGTAAGGTACCTAAAATCTCTTTAATTTCCACAAAAATAAAACAATGCCAGGAAGAATTGGGGTTTACTGTTTCAAAAGCAAGCAAAATGATCAAGTCCATTGCTTCCCATGTATGCTTAAAAAGTGATGAAAACGAAATGTGCCAAACCATTTTTTTGTTGGAACACTGAGGCAGTATGCACATTGCACAGTAAACATATTTCTTTGAGAGCCTTCTTTCTCACACCTTTTTTTTTTTTAAATGAAACTAGAGCGAGGACTAATGCATTTCTAAGTCTTCATCAAATTATAACACATACATATGTGTCCAGATTATCATTTTGAGTGAGCTCGTACTCACCATATTACGTGGTGTTACAAACACAAAGAATATGCACAAGTGCATTTTAAAGTCTTCATCTCTCGTTACTCGATAATATTTACAACCCTAAAAATCACGTCATTTGAACTAATCGGAAATATAAGAATATGATTCTATTACTTTTAATGTAATAGAAAGATGGAAATGTATTATAGTGCATTAGCATGTCTAACTTTCGTTACTCAACTCTGATATTGGCACTTTGAAATAGTATATTCATAGATAATGAACTACAAGTGGTGAAATATACAATATGGATGACAGCTTGAGAACAATTGTATGCATACAAGACTTATCCTATTTGGGAAAGAAACAACAAAACACAGAGAAACCAAAGGGATACAGATGACGCTTGATATTGCATTATCAAGTAAATAATGGTGACGAGATGATGGCAACGTGTGCCTACCCAAGCGTGCGGGGGGGAAGTGAGGTAAAGACAAACCAAAGGGCTGACTGGTTGACCAAAACTGGAGCATAATTGGTGTTTTGATTTTCAAAAGGTCAAAAAGTTTGCTTGGGAAAGGTGTATGTTGGGGGGTGGTCAAAGTAGAAGCTAGCTTGAACTTGAACCAGCTGCACCCAAATTGGGTTTAGTGCTTAATGAGAGATTTGGATAAAGAAAGAGCAATTAATTAATCTAATCTTGATGAGTCAAATACTTTTTGTTGATATCATTTATTGGGTTGAAAGTAAATCCGACATGAACTAGAGTAGTCGGCAATGAAATTGATAGTTTTGTGATTGATCTACGACAACAAGTTTGGTTAGCCTTTTTTCTTCCTAAAGTTTCTGATGTCGATGCATTAAGATAAGGGTTGGCTCCAAAGAGAGAGAAGTAAAACATCTAATGATGCTATATATTTTTTATTTTATAAAATAATCATTGATTATTGATGTAGAAAAAAGTACAAAACAACTATAGTGCATCTTCTTTAGTTACCAAATGCCGAAATGATATTTTACCTTAATAAAAAGCTAGTAAATGTAGTTTGGGATTAATTCGACAGCAACATTATAAACTGAATTTATGTATAATTTTTTTAGTTATACAAATTCCCAAAATTTTGTACTTTAAATAATGAACAATTATGCAATTGCAACGACTTCCGATCCGTATATATTTCTGGAATAAGAGTCTTCATATTGCATTTTTCACGTAGATATATATATGCCGTCCATGAATTTGTTTAAGTGCCTTACTTTCATTTAATTGTTCACCTATT